TCCCGTGCTGGCAGGACTTTCCGCTCAGTGGAAACTCAACAGGATGACAGCCCATGTGTTCAAAGTTGTGTCATCTCATTGAGCATCAACCCTTATCTCTGTGCAAGCAAAATATTTGGGACAGTAAAGGAGAAGTAAAGAGACAGAATAAACAGCAGCGAGATCTGGGAGTGCATCCTTTTGAAACAAATCGTTGTCAGCTACTTAGAATGTGAGCAGATTCTTGTTCCGAATCAGGATTACAAGGTGTGTCGGGGCTGGGTTCTGTGCCGTAGCCCGATTGGGAGAAGAATAGGCAGCAAATTGGTGCAGAACCATAATGGCAAAGCCACAGCATTTCTATGCAGTGTTGGAACTTCCTTCTAAACAAAACACAGCAGCACTCCATAAATACATATTCGATCCGAACAGGGTCCATTGGTTCTGAAAGGACAAAGGGCATGGTTGTCATCCTAGTGGGCCACTCAGATCCACTCCGCTTGCCCCGGGTGTCCTTTGTTGCTACGAGGTATTAACCCTAACCTAAAGCTAGCATATATTCTTCCAAGGTAAAGTATGGTTGGCTGTTGTTGGTCTTTTTGTTTGCTTTTTGTCTCAGTTTGGATTTTTTGCTTCCAAGATTTTAATAGGAAGGAGACTCATAAGACACAAAACATCCCTTCTCTTTATCCAAATTTGTGTTCCCAACTATGCCACACTCTTTGCAACCACAAGGTTTCAAGCCTTTTCTGTAAGTGTCCCTTTGGTATCTTACATTGCGGTTCTCTCTGCCTGCTGGAAGAAGCTGGAAGAAGACCTTCCAGCTTCCATCCTGTGCACTTTGTACCCTGAGATGCTACCTTGATCTAGGCACGACCCACCTGTATTGTGCCAAGGGACTTCTGCTTGTGCAAAAGACTCTCCTAACCAACTCTCTCCATCTATGGCTTCCCCTACATGTCCTTAGAACCTGATTGAAAGGGTTCTTAACCATACAGAGCAAATCGAGGGGTACAGAAGAGGCTAGGGGGCATTTTGTGGATGGATGGAAACAAATAGCTACCAACGCCCTAGCCCCTAATTTCCTGATTATAAAGGAAACATACTCATATACACCTTCCTCCCTACAAAGCTACTACTTGTTATACTGACCCACAGACTTACAATTCATCAGTTTTCTGCCCTCTTCTGAAGAGCAGTCTTCCCTTTCAAAGTTACATGTATGTAATATGTACAAGTCTTGTAGCAAGACAGGTGTCAACAACAGAAGGCAAACAGTGAAACTGGAAAGTCAGTAAGAACCTGAGATAGAGGGGTAGCATTTAAGAAATCGATGAATGGCTGCATCCATTCCTTAATTATCCAAATCAAACTAAGCTTATCTAAGGAAAGAATCTGTCCTACTCTTAACCACATATGTTTTGGCAGAGATATATAGTAATATTTTATTTTCTTGCATTGCTAAATCTGTGTTTGGCGCTAGCATTTACCTTATCTTGGTAGGTTCCTTGCAAAACATTTCCTCAAATATCCAAACTCCACTCCCGTTGGACCTGCCTGACAACGTGCAACCATCTTGACCATTTTGCCAAGGAGCGAAATGACCAGGGAACTGCATAGGCTTTCAGCCAGTCCCTTTCCTGTACTTAGGGAAGAAACGGAGCTCAAACAGTGCTCCTTATTCCTTATAAAAGGGCTCACCTATCACTCATGCTGGAGCCCAAAGGTGTGCAAAGTCAAGACTGCAACGCAGCACAGAGGACGTGTGGCCTCCAGAAGCACTCCTGGAGTTGTATACCGCCCATAGCTTTGTTCAGAGTAAGACAAGTGGGTTGTTTCACTATTACACTTCCACTTCACTCCATGACAAGGGTAAGACACACGAGAGGGTTCTAGTGTCTTTTAATGAGCATGGGAGGAGGCAGTAAAACATGACTGTCAAATTCATCATTTGAAGTCAAGCGGCTGCTTCATACACCCAGCCTGCTCAGTCACACTTGAAGCTGTGTGATGTGTCCATTTCACATACATGAGCTGTACGCACATAGTCCAGTTTATGCAATTTTCCCCTCTCAAAAAAAAGATGAGGGAAAGATTACCTGAGTGAAACAAGTGGCTGTAAGTGCACAGTCCTCACATCCCATGCCACTTTACTTGCACAGCGGAAGGGAGCACATCACTCCTTCCATGTCACACAGATGTCAAGAGCTCAGCGAGTGTATGAATCAACGCTGACAATGAAAGAAGGCTGGACCATTAGGATGGGTTCCCCAGCTTCAGCTGCCTCCCTTGCACAAACAGATGGCGATCAGCTACAACTATAATCCCATTTCCCAACCAAAAATACTTCTCTGGCATTCCTGTGCGGAAAAACAGCTCCCAGAGAAGACACCCATGTGAAGATTGCCTTTCCGGCAAAGCCCCAGAAAGCTCAGAGCTCTTTGGGAAGTAAAGAATCACTGGTTGGTGTGTGGCTTGGCAGAGAATTGTGGGGTGAGGATGAGCTAGTTGAGTTTCTTTGAGGTCACGGGCCTAGGAATATTTGTGTGAAATGTGCTAAAGGAAAAAGAAATAGCTGGCCGTGTAGGAAGACAGGCTGATAGACGATAGCTGATAGATCAGGTTGGAGGCCCTGTCAAATGGCTCCTAAGATAGACCTGGATATAAAAATAGGCTCTGGCTTCCCAATGATCAATTCATCAGCCGACAGATCTTCAGGGTGGCTACTGAATGGAGGCTGTGCAACCCATCCTTTTGTAGTCGGTACACATCACCGTGTCACAGGTCAGAGAATGACCACGGAAAGGTTATTACTCAAGACGGAAGCAGGACTGTCCATGCACCTGCCAGGAATGTCCAAGCACACCGGGCTGCATGGCTCAAAAGCGTTTGGGCACAAGAGGGAGAAGGGAGCCATGGCCGACATCCCCACAGAAACTCTGGGAGAATGTCTGATGCAGGAGGAAGGGAGTTCACGAGAGCATGTTGGAGGGGCTTGAGAACCAAAGACCAATTCTATGGCAGGATGGACCAAAGAGTAGAAAGAAATGCTTACTTTGGAGAGGCGCCTGCGTGACTAAAAATAAATAAATACACAGGGGGGAAAAGCATGCGTGAAACAAAAGAAAAAAAAAGGACATTAAACTGACAGGTCAGGAGGAAAAACACTTGAGAATAAACAGGGACTACAGTATACTGTATCTCCTTCCTTCTCGTCGTTGAGAAACAGCCAACAGTAGACGTCGTCACTCCTTGTCAGGCCCATCAAGATCTCAATCGTTGAGAAGCAGCCAACAGAAACTCATCCTGAGCAGTAGAGGTCCTCACTCCTTGTCAGGCCCATCAAGATCTCAGCTAACATCCAGATGGCTTTTAAACAAAAGCAGCCAATCAAACAAACCCTGGAGCACTTTGAAGGACCCCTGTTTGAAAGGCAGATGCATTCAGGTTTTCCTCCCCGATTCACAGGATTCAGGGCTTTCTAGGGAGCATGCCAAGGACAGCACCAAGGACAAGGGAACAGGGTGTGCCCTCCAAGACTCACGATGCCATCAGCAACCTAACACACTGCACGCCGCTGTCTCGACAACTAGAGACAGCAACAAGACAGCTGTTGAGGATTCTTCCAAACGCTCCCATCTTTGCAAATTAATTCCCTACAGGCATTTTTTTTCCAGCAGGAGGCAACTCGCTGTAATATTGGCTTTGCTGATTCACAGCATACAGATCTGGGTTTTATCAGGCCCCTTTGACTAATGCAATAAAGACACAAAAATAAGGAACAATAAGGAAACCTTTAGAATGGTGAGCTGTAAAATATACTACAGTTCTCCTCTTATATACAGTTGTTGTTGGTTTCAAATTCTTCTCTGGAGCTGGAGTGGCTTCCATTAACGTCTATTAAATCCTACCACTTTCTTGACTAAAGATCCGTCTTCATATACAGAACATAAGCTCCTTATGTAACCAAGTGTGAGACAGGCAACTGAGAACCGGTATGGTATGCACAGTCATCCACAGCTAGGATAACATCATCGAGAGTCCAAAGGACCAAAATGAACGGTGTCCTATTTGACAGATAAAGGGGCTAGAGAACAGATCTACACTCTTGGGTTGCCCTTCTGGCCGGAGATTGGATGTCCAAAAGTGACACCGCCACAGATACCAAGGCAGCAGCTCTTCAGCTCTCTGTGGCTCATAAATTACAGAATGCACTGAACCTTGTCCAGATGATGGAACAAACTCATTGAGACAAATGTAAAGAAATTACAGCTCTCAGGGGTTCCTAGTCATGCTAGCCAGATGGCATCTCCAGATTCATCATCAACATGGCTCTCCATTCCACTTATTGGGGAACAACACTGGAAGAAGGCAGTTGTCCACTTGTCGTGCTCCGGAGCTTCCCATGGGGTTTTGTTTGGCTGTTATGAAAATAGGATAATACACCAGAGAGGGCTTTAGTCTGAACCAGTAAGACTTTGCTTAGGGGTTTTGTGTGTGTATGTGTTTTCATTTAAGGAAGAGCTTCCAAAATGCCTTCTTGCCCAACAAAATATCTAAGCGTTGCAGCATGCTGCGGCTCACACTCAGTCCACAGAGAACAAGCCACACCTGTTGGGGATTGCTCAAGACTTTGTTCCTTTCCAATTAGAGCTTCACGGTTTATTTAACAAACCTTATGATTTCAATATTTAGTTTCCTGGAAACGTTATGCAGGTTAACAGAAAGGACCTCAGGTGTTTTTCAACTTAGTCTATGGAAACCCATTAATGATGGATTATGGCCATCAATTTCTTGTGAATGTTGGCATACGCACATACACCTGACTGACTCCATCATGGGGAAGTGAAGAGTCAGATGATACAGTAAAGGTCAAAATCAGGATACAGGGGGGGAAAGAACTGATGGAAAGAAAAGTGGCAGAGAGGTCATCTCAGACCTGGGGAAGGGACTGCTGACCCCTCTCGTCCTAGGGTGTACAAGGGAGAGGGAAAGAGGGAGGGAGACAGGAAGCGACTTACCTTGGAATTCTTGGCCCCACTACGACCCGACTGGGAGGAACAGCTGCGCTGCACACCTTGTTCTGGTGTTGAAGGGGATTTGTCTGAAGAATGGTCGGAGCCTTTCTCCACCATGGTGTCTCCTTGGGAGTCCTGTGGTGTTGGAGACCGGGAGCGTTTGCGCAGGATAGGGGAGCAAGCAGGAGTGCTGCGGTTCGAATTACTGGCAGTGCTGGAGGGAGAGGGAGGGAGGGGAACACAGTTTTAGAAAACGGTCCAAGGAACATGGCAAAATGCAATGACTGCTGTTGGAGACGGCCCAGGGAAGACACTGGAATTTCCCCCAGGTGGCTTCATGAAGGAAGGCCTTGGGGGTCTTCCACATCACTATTCCTAGAAGTGAAGGTTGACTCAATTCTCAAACGGAGAAAACAGTGGGGTAAAAGGAAAGGGGCAGGTGGTCAGGTTGCAACTATCCACACCACCATTTAAAGAGTGACTGATCTGTCTGGGCTGGATGTACCTCAGCTCATTTGAATGTAATGCATCAGAAGAACAGTAAATCAGAACATGTAAAAGTAGGCACATGATTATTTTTGTTCAGAACAAATATTTGGTATGTAAATCCAGACTCATTTTAATTATACATTTATATATAAATGATTTTTTTTGGTAATTGGTAATTGGTAATTCAGGGAAAACCCTGAAAAGGGGCCACCATAAGTCGGAATCCACTTGAGGGCATGTAGTCATTATTAATATATTAGTTTGTGTAACCCTTCCAACTAAATAACAATATTTTTCTTCAGGTTTGGAGATTTTTTTTATTATTATTTTTTGAGAATTGTGTGGCACTGGCACTGCTTCAGCCCTGTTCATCAATTAATTCCACAGGCATGTATAAACAGCCTGCACAGTCAAATGCAGCCTGGGGACTGACAAATAATAACCTTTGCAGATTATTTTTGCATATACCTTCCAGCTGCTTATGACATGAATACAAAACAGCAAGATTGGCATAAAACCAAGCTTCTGCACACATGTGCTCATTTCTTGAGGCTTATGGCGTGGATGCTTTGATGAGAGTATGTAAGAAACTGAGTGTTCATGCTGCACCAGGTTCAGAATGTTTGTCTCTCCCACCAATCTTGATCAAAATATTCCACAATGGATTCAGGGGTCCATCAACAAGTAGATACATCAAGGGAGGTACATGCATAGGTGAACCAATCCTTTGTGCAAAGGCACCTGCTATTTCTACTACACATCCCAAAAGGCTTCTTGGGGCTCTCTAGATTAGAATCTTTTCCTACCCTATCAAACACAAACTGCAACATCCCCTTCTATCACTGTATAACATTATCACTATTCTGTTCTGCAAAGCAGGAGGAAAAACAATTAGAAAAACTGACTCCCGATCTGAGAAAGCCAGCACGGGCTGCCTAGTGTCATTTTCGCATTTGGATTAAGAAAAGAGAAGAAAATTTCAACAGAGGGCACAAGTTTCAAAGAATTAAGCTTCTTAAGATCCAATTCTGAAATAAAAGATGGTATGGAGACATTGAAAATGGATAACAAAGGTATTCCCCTTCCCATTATCATCGTACTGCTAAAACACAGGCCACCCAATGAAACTGATCAGTAGTAGAATCAGAACAAGAGAAAGGAAGAATTCCTATCGCCTCCTGCCATACATACAGGATTGGCATTTTCTTTTCCAAGATGTGTTGGTGGCTCCCACCTTAGAAGGCTTTAGAAAAAGATTTGGGAATACATAGATGGTGGTCCTTCCTGTGCCCCACCAAGCATGGTGCCTGCACATGACAGGTAACTTCAAGAGTATAGAGACAGTAGGCCATTAAGTATCAGTGGAAAGAATGCTGGAGGCAACCCAACATTCATGATTCCTGTAAAAGTATGTGCGATTAGTTCTATTTGCCTGCCTTCCCGATATCCCCCCCAACCTCATCTTTCAAAATCTTTGCTGGTTGCTGTTCAATCCCTGAGTTTTGAATCTGGCTCAAGAACAGCCATGACAAATGCCTTCTGTGGTTCCCATAGTAACCAGGGCTTGCAAAAGAACCAAGAATCCACGCTTGAAATGACAAAACAGCTTGACCCACTTTGGGGGGAAAAATATAATAATGCTTTATGCAGCTAAGTGCCAGAGGCTGTACAGAACCCTAGATGACCCCCTCCCCCAATGAGCAAGTCTGGAGAAGTTGCTGCAGACATAACACAACAATAGATACACAACATACAGCCTCTGAGAAAAACTCCAGAGGGAAAGACGGGCGGTTAAAAACAACGACTGACAAAGACACAAGAACAAAGCCTCTAAACTGCTCCGGTTGATACACCCTATTAAATTAAGCTTGGAAGTCTTCTTTCTCCTAGTGCAGCCAGAATGCATTGTATATTTGAAATGTCATAGGTAGGCCAAGAATGCGCCCACTCATACTATCATGTTCAAATATTCCGGTTCAAAATTAAAAACAAGACATATTGCCAAAATAGTTAGATTTGATATTACATGATGCTATTTTATCAGCTGAGAGGAGACATGTGGTGGATATGCACTAGCCTTTGATGGACAGCTACCAATGATATGGGGGAGGGAGAAGCAGGGTGTGATGATACATTAGATTTCACAGCAGGTGTTGCAGTATAGACCTGTCACCTGGAGACTCACATCTAGGGGTAGAATGCTACTCAATCAACTATCCACCTGCTGAAGTCCAATAGTATGTTGCAACTAGAATAGGCCCACTGAATCAGAGTAATTTACATAGGTGTAGACTTACCAATCCCCACTACTCTAAGTATAATGTACTACTTGATTTCAGCCATCATGTAGCTACTGTCAAATATTATCAAGTATTTCAATGTGTAGATGACTGTATACTTTTATCCTATGTTTGTCACCAAGTGCAAATGTGAAAACAGCTTGTCCTTCTGCACCTGCAGCAGTTGGTGCACATTTAACACCAGTGCAAATTTTTTTCCCACTGGGTGCCTTCTAGACTCCCAGGTATCTTCAAGCAGCAGCAAAAACATGCATAAGCAACACAGGGGTTGACAACTCAACTCAGAGGTGGGGCTTTCACACTAAGCCTTGAGGGAACTGCCTTCAAACCCTCATGAGTTCCTGGTATGGGGAATGCTCAGCCTTTCAGGGAGTGACGACCTGCAACTCTCATCAACGACAGACAGCACAGCCTGTAGCAAGAGGCAATGTAGCCAATGGTTAATCAGAGCTTTAGAGTCACTCATTCCCCATCCCTACATCAGCTGTTCTGCAAAGTCCTGCTCCTCAGAAAAAGGAAAATGTATGCTTCTTGATGTAAAGCGCCTACATAGCCCTGACACTGTTGTACAAAGGCTCCAGCTGGCTGCAATAACAGTCTTTCCCCATGCATGGACAGCTGCATTCTACATGTGGTGGGAGAAGGTCTATTGCTGCTCCTGGTTGCCTTTGTGCAGTGACCCCACAATGGAGACACACAAATAGCTTTTTGCAAAAAAAATGGAAGTTGTCAGCTGGCTATGGAAAGTAATACACAAGCAAGGGTATTTTATAAGGTGTATGACAAGGAGACATGTGGGCACACGAGAGCTAGCTCAGAAACTTCAGAGCCACCCAGAGATGCTGTCAGGTTTCTGGAGGTACACCACACTGCAGGGTAGAGCAACAGAAAGTTCTATAGAAATTGACCCCAAAGTAGGCCTGGAGGGAAACAACAAGAAGCCGGGCCTTCTCGGTGATCGGCCCCCGCCTGTGGAACAATCTGCCCATGGAGATACACTTGGCACCCTCGTTGGACGGGATTAAACGAGCATTGAAAACTTGGCTCTTCTGTCAGGCTTTCCCTGAGCATTAAATTGCTGATACCTCTGCTTCCCTTTTATTGTCCTTTTGCCATCCATTCATCATCCTTTCTACCCTCTTTATAGCCATCTGTTTTAATTTATCCTACTAGTTATTGTATCTGTTGAATGTTTGTATTATTTTATTCTTATTGTGTTTTAATACTGTGTTGTTGTTGTTAGCCGCCCAGAGTGGCCTGGCTTCCATATGGTGCAGAGTATAAATCTAATAAATAAATGAATAAATAATACTCATCCCAAGACAATAGTCACTATTGCACCTATAAGATAATAGTATCACTGAAGTGTAAGAGAAGAGTTGTATCAATTCAATACAATTGCAAAAACAGAGAACTTCCTGAGGTCAAGTTTCTGCATACAGTATTAGCAAATAAGAATTAACTTCTGGGCCTATATAGCTGATCCACAATAGTTATGGGAAACATACCATCCATATCTGAATTACAGTTTGGAAGTCTATCTAAGGTACAACAGAGAGCTGTTCTTTAGCCTAATAATAATAATGACTTCTAAAAAAATTAAGCACATTAAGCATTTCAGCAACAAAGTACACATTCATAACTTTAAAAAAAGATTCCGAAAACCCTACTGGATACAAACCAAAAGTCCTACAGCCTTCTATAATATTCCTGATACACTAGAGCAGAGGTATCAAACTCAATTTCATCTTGGGCCGCGTCAGCATTATGGCTGCCCTCAAAGGGCCGGTTGTATCTGTAAGACTATATAAATGTAAGAAGGGGACCGGGCAATAGCGAGGACTACATATCCCAAGGTGCTGTAGGCCGCCCAAGCGGCTGCACTTTCTGTTTCTTCGTTGCTTGGAATGCTGGGATTAGAAGTCCCACTGGGTGGATTCCCAGCATCCTTGCAGAGCATTATGGGTGACTGAGTTAGCGCCCACATATTGTATACTGGACAGTAGCATGCAACACTGTGGGGGCCACATGAAACAGGCATATGGGCTGGATTCGGTCCACGGGCCTTGAGTATGACACATGTGCACTAGAGGATAGTCCCAATGGGACACAACTGAAAATGGGAAACAAACTTTTAGAAACCTTTAGAAGCTCACGGTAGACAAGAAAGCATGTGCAAAGAGTGGAGAGAACATCAGCACATCTCTGAGAATGCTGCTGTTCATTCTCATGCATGCGAAAGGCAGGACTCAAAAGACAGCCCAGTTTGCTGCACATACTTAAAAATGTGTCCCACATTAGGCCCATTAAAGGATTACCTTCACAAAGCCAAGATAATTGCTGCACATACTCGTTCTGTTTCTTATCCACCAATTAAAAGCTCAAAGTAGACTCACACTTTTTGATCTGTGATTTCTAACATAAT